AAGTTCTTTAATAGTGGCCTTGTTAAAGTTATGAAATGATTTTAACGCAAGATGTTGCTGCGCACTTTTCCAATTTGCACGATAGACATTTCCAACGCTACCCGAACCTATCTTTTGAAAATTGCTAAAATCTTTATATTCATAGAATTTGATATTTTTACTTAAAATGTATTCTTCAATCAAATTTATACACTCATTTGAATTATTTTCAGTTTGCATTTTGTTTTATTTTATAGCGTAGCAAAGAAAAGTGATAAAATTTGGTGAAAAAACGATTGGTAGATCATGCACAATTTCTTTGCTATTTAATATTGTATTTCGATGCGTAACACAACTCGTATTCAAACCCTCAAATAGTATGTTGGTTGTGAATGTTGTGACATAGTGGTCATGATGCATATATCTGCACAATTCGATTCTTGGTCTTATCATGTTTACAAATGCTCCTTTGAAATTAATGAATACGTACGCCGCATTGAATCAATGATTCATGTCAAAGAGATTATACATTTCAATCAATTGTAGTGCTTGCCATACTAACTGGCTAAGCAAAAAAAAAAATCATATGCCAATCATGGTGTATGGATCGGAATCTAAAGTATCTAAAGTACGACTTTAAATCGATCAGATTCACCGGCAAAAGTTAGTTACACAAAATCGTACATTGATAAAAATTAATTCGTATTATTATTAGAAATTCTGCATGAAAAATTTGATTCTCAAAATATGAAAATGAAGGATTCATTTTTGTGTACCGAGACCTATAGTGAATAAGTGAAGCTAAATTTCATTGAAAGATTCTAATAATTTGTTAGTTTTGCTGTATAATCTCAATAATGAAAAAAGAAAAGTTTAGTATTGAACAATAAAAATCAAAAAAAAAATAAAACAAAAAGATCTAGTGTGACTCTTCTTGTGAAAATAAACATTTGATTAATTGCTTTAACATCTTTTTCTAAAGTAATAAAATTGTTCTATACTTAAAAATATAAAAAATTAAGACCGATTTTCCTATTTTTGTTTTTTAAAACTAAAATTAATAAAAATGCATTTTTGCCGACTCGACTTTTGTTCTGATTTTTGAAACTATAATTGACAATTTTGAGCGATTAAGATGAGATCATTCTTTGATATTAGAATTTATATAATTCATCTTTTCATCGTATCTTATATTGGGTGTTTCAAAGCCAAAAAAAAAAAAGTACATCGTGCAAGAATAGGTAATTTTACGTTAAACATAATGTTTCTTCAGTGTTTTCTGTGATTATTAATTCCTTAATTATTTATGGAACGTATTTATCAATGGTTATATTGGACTTGAATCAACAATTTAACGACGATATTTTTAGTAGCAAATTAGGAAGCTCGAAGTTTGAGAGTAATTCTATGTTATGTTATTGAACGGGAGTAACTATATTATCGTCTTCGACCGATTTAGCCAAGTTCAATAAACAATAATATTATACTAATACCAACTATATGAATAACTTAAATTTAAGGGTGGCCTTTATTAATTTAATTGCATTGCTCACTTATGAAAGATATTTTTTATGAATAGTCAATTTTCGTATAAAAATTAACGTGATATTATTGGGGATTTAATTAAAAACCAAATTTTTTTTTATTATAATTTTTTTTTGATACACAATATTATGAATATTTATGAGGTCATAACATGACATTTAATTACAACTTACTGTCGCAATATTTTATAATATAATGACATTGTAAACTTGAAAGATGATATATATAAAATAAAATTTATTTTTGTGAACTATTCAAACTTTTTGTCTATGTCATTGTCATATATCAAAACAGACAATTTATCGTATAGTTTATTAACTAACTCTCTACTATTCAACTCTAAGTTACACAAGGTCTACATAAAATTATGAGGCGATAAAAGGATTTTTCCTAGCGGAAGTTTTATGATTACAAAAAATTCCCGATACTTTTATAGTTTATTTAATAAACCATACCATTTAGAAATTATTTCCGACTTGATATACGGAATTCTAAAATGGATTTTCCATAAAATTTCTAGAATTCTCAACAAGAAAAGTAAATGGAACAAAAGTTGTACTACTGTTCGAAAATACAAAAATTTTCTGCGATCACTATGGATTTGCACGTGTAATCTACACTTTGTACGAATTAGCAAGCCGCAATTGACATAATAAATAAATTTTTTAAATTTTCAAGTATTTATTATTATTCGAAACGCCAGTGATTTTCAGATTAACATAATGCAATCCGGTGTTAAAGTGCATTCGAATTATCAACTGCGCATTTTTAATTACTAATACAGTGACATAATGAAGACTTGCAACAACTCTTCATATAAATAACAACATTTGTGAAATAACGTAAAACCAATTATCAAGTCAATAATATTTATAAAAAAAATCGGAATTACAGTCCACCAAAAACGTTTTGTTTCACCTCGGAAGCTCAAATCTCTTGGAACAGTATATTAGAAGAAATCCTGCAGTTCTTAAAATGATATTCAAACTATTGCTAAAGGGTCTTTATATGTCATATAGTTTGATACTGCGGCCATTTAACTAATTTTTCAACACCAATGCTTACAAGGTTACATAATCAAACCAGAAGCACATAAATAATAATGTTTTGGTTTCAAATCTTTAATTATTTAGCAAAACTGTGCAATATAAGTATAGAGGCTAACGGCCAGTTCGTCGCATTCCAAAAAATGAACTAGAATCAACGCATGTGGTTTATTTATTGATGCAAAATCAGAATTTATTACTTCCATGAAACATGGTCGAGCGAAAGAAAATACTTGAGATGAAGAAGATGTTATGTAAATTAGTACTTCCAGCAATTCCATCAGGAAGCATACTAGCGGTAACTAAAAATTCCTGCAAGTACCTATTGTTAAATAAAAGGGACATAGAATTACCGTAGTCACAAATAATTGGAAATTTGGAGAATTTTATTAATGATTAATGGTAAACTTTCTCAGAATAATTTTTTAGTCTGGTCGATGAGTAATAGTGTAAGATTGGTCATCGAATAGGAAATGCAAATTCTTTGATAAAATCTTGCTCTCAAACAAAATGTATATTCACATCATTTTTTTCGCACTCGTATAGAAAAGTGCATATAAATTTTATATTATGCTGACTTGGAGTTTTATAATTCTCAACAATCTCATATTTTTTTATGACACTTAAGACATGAAGTGATGTACGTAATTATTTTACAATTATCGTTTTATATACTTATGTTTCGAAAGGGAGGAGGAAAACCGGTACGTCTGATCAGTAACGATTATCGTCAAAGAACTGTACTGGAATCCTACTATAAAAAATAACTTTCTTTAATAATCAAGTGATCGACAACCAATCGATAAATTCTCTCATTTCTAAAAAAAAAAAAAAAAAAAAAAAAAAAAACTTTTAAATTTTAATCATATCACAAATAAAAAACTTTTTAATAAAGTATATATTTTACCAATGTCTGAATATACGTCTAATTCTAATTCTGATTTTGAAGAATTGATTCGACAGTATGTACAAATCAATTTTGTCAATTAAAATAAAATAAAAATATTAAAATAAAAAATTTTTTTTTAAAATAAAACGCGAAATCGTGTTGTGTAAATATAATATAATATAACTAATAGTGCTATATAAATAATAATTTATAAATTTAATTTATTATTTTTCTAATAAATAAATATTTATAGGAGGGTTTTAGTAATAATCTAAATTTAGAAGATGAAAATTTAAGTGAAGATGAAGATAAAACATTGTCAGATATAGAAATTGAGATGATTTGATTTATAATTTTTTAAACTTATTTAATTTCATTTTTTATACATAATTGAAATATTTATAAATATTTTAGAATAACATTTCTGCTGTATTTGAAAAGAATCTTGAAGTTTGGGATCTTTACTTCTTTATTTGATTTTCAGAAATCTTTTCCGAGTTGAAATACTTTGCAAGGAGTATTTTATTTTGTTTTCATTTTTTTTTGATCATTTCGTTGTTATTTTTTATGGGTTCAAATCAAGTCATACAGCGATAAATTATTTATTTTCCGTTTTGTATTTAATATGAATATTCTTTATTTATTCCTTCACAGTTTGGTTTACATGGGATAGATTTTATTTGGTTTATCGACATTATCTGTATTTTTTCTTGATCTTTCCGCTAATATTTTCTAAATCTTTAAATACAATAAATAATTTTAATTTTTTATTTTGCGATCAATTCGGTTTTAGTAGAATAGTTTAGAAAGATATTTCTCGAAAAATAGTATTATAATGCTAATATTACTTACAAAATAGTCTTTCATTTCTGCAAGACTTCCCCTGCGTACCCATCAAAAAATGTCACGTCGGCCTGCATTAAGACTTTTGATGGCCCATATGCATGATCATGCATGTTGCCGATTCTTAATGTCGGCCATTTCGTGACATTTTTTTGATGGGTAGTCTTTCCGCAATGACTGCGCCTTCCGCAATATTAGTCACGTTGGACAAAATCATGAGACCTTTACGTAGAACAAAGGTGTCGATCATAATCTATTTAGAATAAAACACGGAGTTTTATTCCCGTTAAACTTTCTTTTTTGAATAAATTTCATTTTATTGCATTATGTCCTCCATTCGTAGGGAATTATTTAACGATGCATGTGATAGAGCATATGCATTAACCGATTATAACCTTTACTCAGATATTGACAAATGTCATGAATTTAGACAACAAACAATTTACGCTGACAAATCTCTCACAGATGATGAAAAATCAGAGGCAATAAGAATATTAATTCAGGGTTTTGAATTCAATAAAATTATCTTAAAACAAGGAATGAAAAGAGTTTGTGAAAATTGCAAACAAGAATGTTTTGCAATAACATTTTGCGAGAATTGTATTCGAAATTATTTAAAATTAAAATATTCAGAATGGACATCTGGAAATAATGAAATTGATAATTTAATTAAGAAATGTCAGATGATAGTATTTAGTCCTAATAAAATAATTGAATGGATCCCATTCGATAAATTGCAAAAAATCAAATATTTAACTAAAGGTGGATGTTCAGAAATATATATGGCAGATTGGATTGATGGACGTTATAAAGGATGGGATTCTATCAGAAAACAATTAATAAAATATGGAAGGCAAGAAGTCATACTTAAAAGATTAAAAAATGCCAAAAGTGCTAATAGAAGTTGGTTTGAAGAGGTATGTAATTTAAAGTATTATTAATTGTTGGTTTTTTATAAAAAAAAAATAGAAAGAAACTAATCAATCAACTTTTAATTAATAGGCAGAATCTCAATAAATATTAAGCAATAAATGGCCAGCTTTCGCTAAATCTTATGGTCTTACTCAAGATCCACAAAATAAAGATTATTTTCTTGTAATGCACTTATTCAATATAGATTTAAGAAAATATTTACAACAAAATCATAACCAACTTACATGGAAACAAAGAATCAACATAATTCAAAACATAATCTATGCAGTTTTGCGCCTTCATCAAGAAAATTCTATACATAGAGATTTGCATTCAGGAAATATATTATATTCTGATCATAGTGGTGGATGGTATATTAGTGATTTTGGATTTTGTGGCCCTGCTGATAAACCATTAGAAAGTATATATGGAAATCTTCCTTATATAGCGCCTGAAGTTATTAATGGAAAAGGATATACTTTTGCATCAGATATTTATAGTATTGGTATGCTCATGTGGGAGATTTCATCTGGACAACCACCTTTTGCTTATTTTGACCATGATTATGATCTTGCAATAAATATAATAAAAGGAATGAGACCACAAATCATACAAGGAACTCCAACAGAATATAAAAATTTAATGGTTCAGTGTTGGGATGCTGATTCATTAAAGAGACCCAATTTTGATACCCTCGATGATAAAATTACAGAAATACGAAAATCATATTATCAAAATGAAAATGAAGAACAAAATATTAATTTTAATAGTACACAAACAAATGCAAAACCTAATATAAGTTTAAACTCTAATAGTTCATTAGTCAGAACATTTAGTAAACTTTATAGTTTTAAGTATTTACATGAACCAAGAAATGCTAGTAAAGGTAAACTATTATATTTATTTATTATGTTTATTATTAAAGTTAATTTAAATTTTTTTAACTTACAGAAGAGCAAGAAGGTTATTATTTTTATTTTTTAAAATATAAATTTTAATCAATATTAATTTGTTATTTCCTTTTTTATAAAAAAAAGCTTATGATATGCATTACAGTCTTAATATTTCAAATAGTAAGTAATACTTTTTTTGTTTATATGTAATCATAAGAAATTTATTAATTAATTTAACTACCATAAAAAAAATAAAAAATCCACCATAAAGATTATACAGAAAAGAACGTGTATATACCAATAATTGAATATATATTTTAATACTTTGTTTTAAAATTACGTTAATAATTTAAGAATTTATATAATTATAGATATGAATGTTGGCAAAACTAAAAGGAATTCAAATAACTTCATAATGGTAATAAGTCATTTCGTTAATATTATATTAAGCTTTTAAATAATAACTAAACTTGACTTATAAATTTTTTTTTTACTTTATTTAGAAAATCAAGAAGATTTTACAAATTAAATCAAACAAAGATAAAACTTATTAATGGCAACAGTAAGTGAGAATTTGTAAAGTTTTATTTATTCTTAATATTTCTAAAACTGAATTGTTTATTTTAGAAATTAATCAAATCATATAAATTGGAACGCATTATAGGCATAGAAAGCGATGTAAGAAATTAATATTTATTACTAGAATTTACAATTTAATCATTATAATCTCATTAGATGTAGATGTTATAATAATTTAAATGTTAGTTTAGATGACTTAAGAAAAATTAATATACTGTATATTATTTAATTATATTAAAATAAAAAATTATTGTATAAAACAAAAGTAATTATTACTGTGTTAAGTAAACAAGAATTGTATAATAGAATGGAGATGAATGATATTATTAAGCAAAATATTTCCATCACAATTCCTTCGTCACTGAATTCTTTTATTTGTGTTATAACAATTAATAATCATGCTAGTTTTCTTTTGTATATCGACATAATATATTTTATTTTTGAATTGCTGATGCTAAAAATTCAAACCAAATGCCTTAGTAAATCATATAAAAAAAACTTCCTTATAGTTTATGACAAAATATCATATATGAAAATATGTCCTATAGCTTTATTTCTATTTTACTTATTCTAATAAAAAATTGTATCGCCAAAAAGGCAAATAATATAATTAATTATTCAAGAGATTATTACTTTTATAAGTAATTGGGTTTTATAATTAATGATAATGCAGTTTTACTTTTTATAATTCAATAACTTGTATTCAAAAAAAACTCTGAACTGTTCTAAACTTGAATACAATATGATAAACATAAAAATAGTCCTGAAAATTTTATTCTAACTAATGTGATTCTAAGGCGTAATTGTTTTACAAAGATATTAATGATAATAAAGAGTAAATAAAATTTTTTAAATAGTTACGTTCTGAAACGATCAAAATGAAAATAATACGACCCAGAAGATATTATCTATAGAAAGAAAAAAATTTGAAAAAAAATGAAGGAATAATAAAATGTTCAGAAAAAATTTTCATGTATCCAGCCTTAATTGGAAACAAACGGATCAATTTTTTTGGAGAAATTTAAATCGTTAGTTAGATCGCCGGACGAAACTCAGAACTCAAAAAAAAATTAAAAAGCAGAAAGATCAAATAATGAAACATGATTAAAAATAAGTTACTTTATACTAACAAAAAAAAGCAGACACAAAGTAAAACCTTAGAAAGGTGAAAAAAATAATATTTTAAAATCTATCGAAATTGTTATAGAACAATACTCGACTTGATCTAACCAGATTTAGATTAGAATTTATTTTCAGAAATTCTTTTTCATCTGGAAGCATTAAGAATTATGCTCGTTCAGAAAGTCTATGGTAAAATCATTTTATTTTATAAGCAATCACATATTGATTAGTAATTTCAGTCATGCGCAGGCAAGTGATAACTGCATCGCAACTCAAATATTTGGATAAGAATTTATTTCATGTTCGACCGTAATTATAGCCAGAATTAAATTATATCACCAGTTAAATTTATTTTATTTCAAATCATTGTTAGTGACACGCTCGGAATTTGACTGCGTTCAAATTTGGATCGCTTCACGACATTAATACTGTCATTTCTGACGTACAGTACTTTATTTTTTGGAATTGATATTTCATCCTTTACGAAAGTTCAGACTCCTCGGGATCATGGAATGTATATGTCAAAATGATCATTTTTGACATTAGGAAGCGATTAATAAACATTTGCGTTATCTAGGCCGTAAGAATATTGATCTTCACCAAGAATTCTGTAACCAAGCCATAGGTAATTATTATAAAAAGAGACTTTTCAGAACAGGATTAGGATTAGGATTAGATACTCTCTTTGGGCCTATTACAGAGCGTAGTAATAGTTGCATTTTTTGTATTATTTAACATTTTATATAATTAATTTAGTTCTCTACATTTATCTCAATAAAAACTTTTTTATTATTTTAAATTGCTTTACATTGATTTCTTATTACATTACATTCGTGTTTAATAAACATATAAAATCATTAATTACCTCTTTACGAAATTAAGAGGTGATATTAGCAAATTCCAATGTACTCGTTCAAAAATCACAAGCCTATAAATTTAATACTGACAATTGTAGCTTTTAATTATGTCAATCAAGTATTTAAATATTTATCAATAAAAAATTATTCCAACTAACGATAATAAAATGGTCATAATGTTTAATATACAAAATGGTTCGACGATTAAGTAACATTAGTCGAAGTAATAAATTATACCTTGCAAATTTTTTATATTATAAAAATTACAAGAATACGTATTCATAGATGCATATACAGTGGCGCTCAAAAGTATTGCATCACCTGAACACAAATTTTAATATAGTAATATCTTGTGATTAAAAATACACAGAGTTACAAAACTTTAATTAATGAGTTGGTCATACCTTATATTTTATCAATCTACTTAATCTTTTTTTAAGGGGTAAAAATATTTTTTCTTTTGTTATGAAGCTTCGCAAAAATG